TTGGTTCTAAGATATTACTTGAATTTTAAGTGTAATTAATAAGGAAATTTTTCAAACAATTTTCTTTATTGGGAACAAAATAATTCCTTTTTATTTGACTGTGTAAGATTTGTTGGTTTAGTTAATCCAAGTTGAATTCTTCATCTTTTATTTTGAGCGGCTGGGCAGAATATTGTAATAGCTGGACAGTTTAGAGAAGTTGGGGCCAAATGCAATTGCTATGAATCAAATCATTTACTATTTTGATTAAATGTTGTCATTTCTCTTTTCTTATTTGTTTTTTCTTCTGTTTTAGGTGGTGCGATTAGCCTCATTTCAGCATGCTCCATCTGTGCCTCCTTTCTTAACATTATCGAAGCAGTCTAGAAATGACGGGGACAGTTCAGGGATACTAAAAGAGTTTGAAGAAAGAAGGGTTAATGAGATAGCTGTTGGTGGTGGAGGGGTATCAGTGGCAGTTACTCGTTTTCCAACAGAGCAGAAACGGCCTGTTGGGCCTCTAGTTGTGGTGGGTGTCAGAGATGGCGTTCTTTGGCTAATTGATAGGTAATGGGCCCCCCTTTTCACAAATAAAGTTGTTAAGAATGTATGCTAAATTAGTTGTCTATAAAACATATGTGCATGAGTTCTAACTTCTATGTGATAAGTATATGATCGCAAACATAAACGATTTCTTTCTTTTGTATTTCCCTGCAGATACATGAGTGCTCATGCCTTATCCCTTAGCCACCCTGGGATCCGTTGTCGGTGTCTTGCTGCTTATGGAGATGCAGTTAGTGCTGTCAAGTGGTATCAATCTTTCTTTCTATAGTTTCCTACATGTCTAACCGCACGATCTTTTTTATATAATTCCTAATGTTTTTGTTTTATGCAGGGCAAGTAGGCTAGGCAGAGAACATCATGATGATTTAGCACAATTTTTGCTAGGCATGGGTTATGCTACCGAGGCACTTCATTTGCCTGGAATATCTAAGAGGTATGCCACAAATAAACTCACCCTGTGTGTGTTCAATGTCATAGTGCTTACTTTTCCTCTTTTTTTTATTATTATTTTTTTATGCTTATTATTTCCGTTTTTGTTTTTTTGAGAAGAAACGATAGAACTTTATTATATCAATAGAAGGAATTACCCACAAGTGGATAAAAAATCCACCAAACTAGCTAAGACCTCTCAAGTAGGACTACTTTACAAGTAACTGAAGCTGAACCAAATTCATTTTACAGCTGCTAACACATCCATTACTATATAAGATAGAGAATAATCCCTTAACTCATTTGAAACTGAAGTCCAGAGGGCTGCCTGGTATCTTACTCTAACCCATAGTTCCTCTACTCCTGCTCCCTTATAATCCTCAAAAATTCTTTTCGTACTCTCCAACCAAATGTTCCAAAAAACTGCCAACGCCAAATAGCCCCACAAAGCTTTAGCTTTCCTCCCCTTTCCTAAAGCCTCGAACTTGGTGCTTAGAAGCTCGAAACAACCCTTTGGAATAATCCAACTAGCTCTAACTTCCTTGAACAATTTCCACCACAGCTGTACCGAGTAAGAACAAAGGAGAAAAACATGATTAATGCTCTCCTCCTCAGTTTTACACAAACTGCACAAATGAGGAGAAATGCAAATAAAAGACCTTTGCCTTTGGTACATGATCACGTGTTGACCATTCCAATTGCCTTTGACTTTTGGAGGAGCTTTTGATTTCCAAATCTGAGAATGGGGTGGAAATTGTTGCACGGTTCCATTGTTGCATAAGAAAGAGTTACAGGATTTGCAATTGGAAAATCCTGATCCGTCTAGTTTCCACCACCTATTATCCGCTCTTGATTGAATCAAACGAACATCTTCCACCTTCTGTAATAACCCAGTCACCTCTGCTATCTACAGCCCATTCAAATTTCTTCTGAAATCAAAATTCCAACTCAATGACCGAAGAGAAAAATTCACAAAACTTGAAATGCTCTAGTTATACTTTCTCGATAACAAAGAATTATCTAGGATACTGCTCTTTCAATGGTCCACCCTCCAACCAACCATCCTCCCAAAACCTCACCCTCTCCCCATTGCTTTCGAGGGTCTACTTTTATATTCTGTCAAGTGTAAAACCATGCATCATTGTGGCCATAGGTTGATGTGGTTTACATGGTTCAGTTTTCAGTTGATGTGTCTGGCCTACAGGCACTTTGAGTCTGTTGTATCCTTTTGTTGTTGTAGTGATCGCAAAACGCCTTTCAACTATAAAGTTAATGTGTTGGGAATCATGGCATTTAAGCAGCAGCCGTTTCATCTCAGTTTGAACCGTATATATCGTTATCCTTTTTTTGTAGGTTGGAGTTTGATTTGGCCATGCAGAGCAGTGATTTGAAAAGAGCTCTTCAGTGCCTGCTTACAATGAGCAACAGCAGGGACATAGGGCAAGAGAATACGTCATTTGATTTGAAGGACATTCTAACTGTAACGACTAAGAAAGAAAATGTGCTGGAAGCTGTCCAAGGAATAGTGAAGTTCGTAAAGGAGTTTATGGATCTTATTGATGCTGCAGATGCTACTGGACAGGCTGAAATTGCTCAGGAAGCCCTTAAGAGGTTGGGTGCTGCAGCTTCTGTAAAGGGAGCTTTACAGGGTCATGAATTAAGAGGACAAGCTCTGCGCCTAGCCAATCATGGAGAGTTGACGCAGCTAAGTGTATGTTATTCATATCTGAACTTGCTCTTCTTGCATGCTAGTTCTTGTGATTTTGATAGTCCTTTCTGAAAATTTTTGATAGTCCATTCTAAATACAGTTGCTTTGCGCTGCAGAATTTGGTAAACAATTTAATATCAGTTGGCTCTGGACGTGAAGCAGCATTTGCAGCTGCAGTTTTGGGAGACAATGCCCTCATGGAGAAGGCGTGGCAGGAAACTGGAATGCTCGCTGATGCTGTGCTTCATGCCAATGTATGATGTGATTTATGCGTGTTCATCTTCCTCTGAGTTTATTATTTTGACCTGACTGTCTCATGGATTGTCTGTGCAGGCTCATGGGCGACCAACATTGAAGAACTTGGTTCAGACTTGGAATAAAATGCTACAGAAGGAGGTTGACCACACACCAACAACGAAAACAGATGCTGCTGCTGCATTTTTGGCTTCTCTGGAGGAACCCAAGCTTACAAGTTTAGCAGATGCTGCCAAGAAACCACCAATTGAAATTCTTCCTCCGGGGATGCCGTCTCTTTCAGCTCCTCCTATTTCTATTCCAAAGAAAACAGCTCCAGTGGCTCAGAATTCACTGCAGCAACCAGCCAAGCCGTTGATGTTGGAAGCAGCCTCTACGCCCACACCAGCACCTTCAGGTGCGCCACAAGCACAACAATCAGAATCAGGATCAGATGATAAGCCTCCCGCTTCATCATCAGAGAGTGATCCAGGTAATCCAGTTTCGGCTGCTTCGGGAGAAAGTGTCCCCGTAACTTCTACGGATAATGGAGCACCATTAGATGCCCCACCTCAAGCGCCCCAGTCAGGGGATCCATCCCAGGAGCCCCAATCCGAGGCTGCATCGCAAGCGCCCCAGTCCGAGGCTGCATCGCAAGCACCCCAGTCAGCTTCTGCATCGCAAGCACCCCAGTCAGAGGCTTCTGCATCCCAAGCGCCCCAATCAGAGGCCTTTCCGCCCCAAGCGCCCCAATCTGAGGCACCGCCCCAGTCAGAGGTCCCACCTCAGTCAGATGCCCCATTTCAAGCTCCACAACCGGAAGCACCCCAACCTGCCGTCCCAACCCAGACGACCTCATTACAACCCCAGGTGCCACCCATTCGGCAAACCAATGCTCCAAAAAGATTGCCACTAGATGAGGATTTTTTCCGAATGTGATATCCCCAACAATCTTGCTCAAAAACCCATTTAGGTACACACGCACAGAAATTAAGTGATTTGTCCAGTAGAAGCCCAACATGTCATACAAAGGAACCGTGGTCATCGCAATATTTTTTGTTCATCTTCGGGGGAAGCGATGGCGTGATGTAGTAGTTGTATTCATGTTTATATTTCTTGTAACCTTTGGTTTTTTATATTACATTCTTCTGTGCATCCGTTGTATCATTTTATGTTTCTGTTTTGTTGATTCAGCTGATTTGATTTGTTTTGATGAGGGATCCTTGCTAATAGAATGCCATTGCAGTTGGCGGCTCTTTTCTTTCCACAAATTCTGTACTCACTCGTGTTATTCATATCTTTAGTTTATTTTCCTAAAGTTGAATTTTACTATTTATTTGCAATCTTTTTTCTTTTCCTGGCACGAAAGTGGTTTGGAAATTAACGGTTCGATCGAGCATATAAGGAACTAATTGATCTTTGCAAGAGTTAAATCTTTCATAAAACTCGTACAAGGAACTAATTGATGTTTGCAAGAGTTAAATCTTTCATAAAACTCGTACCGCTGAATGATACCATTGTAGCCGGAGCCATTTATTTATTTCAAACTGTTATTTTGCTGTGCTGCTATTTTCAAGCACCACAAGTGCGAAAAAAATCCGTACTTGAAAATGTAGCCCAGTGGAACGGCAGGAGTTGCTGATCGTAGCCAACTCCAACACCCTGGTGTTGACAAGGGACGGTGTTTTCCCGCCAGGCCATGCAAGTGCATTGACTGCAATAAACCCGTACGAAACAATACCGTCATGCCATCCACGGCTGCCATCAACTTCCAAAGGGTGAAGAGCTCGATCCGGAATTCAGAAAGATTGCCGAGAGGGTGACGAGCATGAAGAATAGCTTAGTCCAGAATCGACCAAAGCGCTGAAATAACGTCGGAACCATTTGATTCACTCAACTAAAATTCTTCTGCGGGGAAGGGACGTATGCTGATAAGAATGCCAAATCCCACTTTTTTTACGGGTAGTGCTATCCACGCCCATTTTTACCTCCTCACAACCTTGTTAGTTTCTGTTTTTTTATCTTCAAATTAGTTGATCTGACAGCCAGAAATTGAGAGTAAAAAAATAAAAATAAGTGCAGATATCACCACCTAATTTTATAAGAACATCACAATCTAGAGAAATGAGATGCTACAGGAAAAATGAGACGCTGAAGAAGTTTCTGATAAAGGAAAAAAACATCCACCGGCTGGCTTTCAGGTATTCTATATACGTATCATTGAATGGTATGGATAAACGCCGTTATATTTATTTCCATAGCCATTTAATGCTACGTAGTAGTATTGAAGAAAGTTTTGGTTTTTTAGAATCTACATAAAATCCAAGTAAAAATAATGCATGCATAGACCATGCTAGGTTTTGGTTAACTCAAAAGGACGTTTGACATCCCAACTCCCAACCCACCTGGTATCATACATAATCATCCAAGCTGGGACGGTGATCTCTGATTCAATAATAAAGGCCGCGGGTCTTGAATAACAGCGGATCCCAGTTTTGATCTCACCTGAGCTTGAATGAGATGCTAGACTGCAAAGGCTGATCCAAAAGTGTAGAATATTCCAGGGACCCTTCGAGACAGTACGCCTGATGAACACAAATGTAAAATCAAATCCTCTTCCAGATTTACAAGCGGGTTGAACCAGACACATCTAGGACACATCTTCTGTGTTCAGATTCAACTTCTGGTGATCGTTCAAGCACTTCGAAATTTCTGTGAACAATATTTAATCATTAAGTGTGAATCAATTCCTGGTGTCTGATTACGACTCTTGTTAACAGTAAAAGCAAACACATAAACAGTATAGGTAAAAGATTAATGACCACCTAGATAGTAGCAAATATTTTCTATAACGTATGCCATTCATGCAGTAAGCAGACGCAGAACAAATTTTTCTACCACAGAACAAACATTATATAACTTTTATCTAATAAGTCTTACTAATAAGTCTTACATCTTACGAATTTCTGTAACGTATGCACAGAACAAATTTCTATAACGTATGCCATTCCTAATAAGTCTTACATCTTACGAAATAAAAGTTCTATAACTGAAATTGCATCAACAAGAAATGGAAGCATATATCCCCCACTGCAAACACAAGAGTACCAAAAGAAGTACCGAAGATACCATCAGAGTAACGGAATAAAAGGCATGGGCTCGGGGGGAGGGAAAGGTTTCTAGATCCAGATTCCATAAAAACAGGAACAGAAGTTTTAATAATCTAAAGGAACAAACATGTTGACATACATTAAGATAGCATGTAATTAAAATTGAGTCACCAGAGATGTTTGAGATTTATGCTTAAGACACGTTTGTAAATGAGTTCCCTTCGACAACACAAACAATAAAACAGGAGTTCCCAAGTGAAGTTGATCCTCTATTACCCAATATGGAGGATTGAATGCATTCACCAGTATTCCTATCTTGACTGTTTGGTTAGAGGGAAAAAACTTCAATGATAGGAAAGTAGAGTTTTTACTTGGGGCATAAATAGATACCTAACCTCTTCCTTGCAAGTTGCAATTACTAGAGTTGCAGTAGAAATGTTAGTTATGCCAGTTAAAGGAACTTGGATGAGGGACTTTAAAGTTGCATTGAATTTAAGCTTATATTGGCTGAAATACAAGAACAACCACCACCAAGCCTTACCCCACTAAGTGGGGTCGGGCGTATGAATCCTAGAATTGCATTGAGCTCAGTTTTGTGCCAAGTCTTCTGTTAGCTCTAGGTACTCCATATTTTTTCTTATAGTCTCTTTATAAGTCTTCCTAGGTCTTGAACATGACTAGATGCAATACATTTGGTAGGAATAGTGTTTATGTAGTGCATTTGTAATGTTTAAGACTTTAAGTAGTACATTTGTAATGCTCAAATATTTAAGAGTCATAGTGTTCTTGTAATGCATTTTTAACAATGGAGTCCAAAATTCCATGATACTTTAGGTTCCTTATCCAAATACACTAAAACAAGTACACAAAAATTAACTATACCAAAAAGCAGCAGTCCATAAAATGACACTTAGCCAATGGAAAATATGAGGAAAATGTAAATGGTGTTTATAACAAGCGATCCAAATATATACCTGTTCCTTTTTGGTGAGGGCTTCAAACAATGGAAAAGACCTAACCACCTCATCTTGCATGGTCTGCTACGCCTGGAGTTTGCAAAAATAAAAGATTTTTTTCATCCTTCATAAGGAAAAGAGTACAAAAACATCGTCAAAAATAGGCCAAAAACTACAACCCACTTACAACCAAGGTAACACCAACAGCTGAAAAATCACATTTCCATCCTTCACTCTCACACTGCCATTAGCAATGTTGCTCTCCATTCTTAAGTCTTCCACTTGTTAGTAGGTAAAAGCAATGTGCACATCTTTTGCTTCTGTTTCCAGTAATGGATTTGTTCAATCATATTAACAACAAATTCATGTCCCATCAGTGAGCAACAATTTTTTTTGGTTGTTGATGCTTGATAGCTTTAGAGTTTACCATTCAATGGTGGGAAGAGGGTACAAATACTGGTAGGACCAAGGACAAATAAGGGGAATGGAATACTCCTCAACCCAACGCTAGCCATGTTCATCCTTTCCTACATGAATAGTACTTGGCTACTCAAAGGATGAGTATGAGTTCCTACTCAAACTGTTCATTGCCGATTCATAAAACTTCGTGTTTATGATCAGAACCGTTCATGTTATAAATCACTTTATAAAGATCGATTCTGCAAAAAATCAATTAAAACTAAGGCCGTTTAGTCATCAAACTGTATAAAAACAGATGAATGGAATTGGTAAAAGCATTATGAACCGTCTATGTATTTGCTACAATAGAATGGCCGAACAACTTTAGTTTTAATTCCTTTTTTTGCAGAGATGATCTTTACAGAGAGATTCGCAATATGAACGGTTTTGATCATAAGCACAAAGCTCTGTGATTCGAACACAAAGAGTTTTGAGTAGGAATTCCTAATCATCTTTGAGTAGCCAAGAATTGTTCTTCCTCCATTATGCAACAAATAAAAGTAAAAGGGGTAAAAAACCACCACAAAATTCAAATTCAAATCCTAAATGGTAAAAAAAAAAATGAAATTATTGCTCGATTAGGAATTTCATTTAGTTTTCATAATCTACATCAGGAACATCTAAAAATGCTCAGTCTAATTCTAAAAAGGTAAAACAATTTATTTTTGCATTAACCAATTACATTAGGACCACAGCCAAGAATGACTGATGAAAATGATTTACGTAAAATTTATGCATTGCAACTACATTAGATTTTCCGAAGGTTGAATAAGCAAAATTTAAATCCCACACGAAAATTCAAGTTCATATAGTAATTCAGAAAGGAAACAACAGGTATACTTCAAGTTAAAACTCGTGATAAATATATAAAATCATTATGCAATAATTAGAGATCAGCACCACATTCACGTGTGTGCTAGCGGATAGTTCCATAGAACAAAATATAGAGGATCTATTTCATCCTTTGTAAGAAAGAGACCGCAAAAACAAGTTAGACTTAAGGTATAATCTCAATGAAATAAGAAACCTATGTTGATTCACTTACCACTAAAACACCATGTACCAGCTGCCAAACCACATCTCACCATCACCATCAACTCTACAAATACCAAGTTAGCATTGCCAAATTATGATGGAGTAATATAAAAATGCAAGAACTAAGAACGAAAGAGAGATTATCTACTCATGCAACCACAATGACGATCTTGATCATGCCACAATGGCCTTCTGGTTCCTCCACAATCTCATGGCACAATGGCCATAGCTGCTCCTTCGTTATAGTATATATTTCTCTATTTTTTATGAATCTAAATACAAAAATGAAAATTGAACAAAACTGAATGTTGAGAATGTTTATAAATTATAGACGTTTGAAAAGCACAACAATGCGTGCAAAGAAAACAAAGTATCCAAATTTGCCCTATCCCATATGCAAAATAGACCCTTCTCTTTGCTTTTATGTTTAAGTTAGAAACATAGTAATGGACCCAAACAAATCAAATCTTCTCCTTATACTTTCTCATATGCAAAAACTACCCTTCTTTTCAAATCAAACAAACCTTCAACTTATAGATTCTCATAAAAATCTAACTTGTTTTTCAAACTTTCTTTTTTTGCTTCTAATATGTATAAAGAACATGTGATGGGTTTTGGGCCCAATTATCATTAAAACAAGGGAGGCAAATCAGCAAAGATCAATAATTACAGCTGAATCAGAGATTAATTAGCAAAATTTCACTAAATTTGTCAACATCTGCAGTAGGCACAACACAACTAGCACTGATCGTGATCAGCACAAATCTTTTCAACCCCAGCCTAAGTCCCCAATCAACAAACTTAATTGGTTGAGGTACATGATTCATTTATGTTCTACAGATGCATATTGAAGTTCCAATATTAAGTGATAATAATATATGGTATACAACCTTTCTTAACCTCAACCCTAAGCACAATAAAGTAGCCTCAATGCACCGCCTGTACATTTTCTAATGAATGAATCATACGGGTTTGATTGATACATCTGCATTACCAACGACTGAAACGCCAGCAACTTGGTACCAGTAGGTTTTGGCTTGCCCCTTTCTTATTATTAGTAAGAGTCAAGTAGACGGACTTCTAGGTGATGTGGCTCTTTCCCTGAACGCAAAGATCCGCTATTTGATAGCTAGCATTACACATTTGGTGAGCTATAGTTTCTTCTTCTTCTTCTTCTTTTTTTTTTTTTTTTGTCCAAATGTTTTATCAATGGTTGAATGAGCACATTAATTTGGGATCTCAAAACATGAGACTCAATAAGCTCACAAAATTGATTCCACGAAAAATTTACAACAAATTGAAGTAAAAAAAAGTAATATCCATATCATATAACAAGTTATATTCATATCATATGTGAATTCTGGGCGAGTATAGTTAGAGATCAAAATCACCTGCAAGTTAATATCACATGCCAAAGAAAGAGCAGGTGGACTGTATGACAACAAGAGAGAGCACGCCCGTAAACAACCATGATCCTTTCATGGGTGATGACAAGCGTGCTCTCTCTCGTCGTCACACAACATCAAACCCTAGCTCAACTCAGACGTCAGTAGCAATGAAAAAAAGCAGTTTATAATGTTCTAACAATCACAACAATTGTCAAGGAATTATCCTCCACATGCAATCAAATTTCCCCACTTAAATTGGGGGAAGATAAAAAATGAACTTTATACATACATACATACAATTACACATATATAAAATACCAACCAAAGATCTGATATCCCTAATAAGACCAACTGACCTAGATTGTTAGCACAGAAAATTTAGACCCAGAACAGTAGTATCATAATCATCTCCAGAGAAGCCTGACATATACCAGTAACTAATTAAGGTGCTTGGTTGAAAATTTATCAAGCATGACTAGAGAATACGTAAGACCTAAGTTGCAGACCAAGATTGATCTTTTAGCGACATATCAACATGAAACTAAGAACACAACAACACATGCAAAAGACTATCAGAAATAGGGATGGGCAAATACCCATTGGTTATGGGTAACCGCGGTTATCCGCCCATTTAAATTTGACGGTTACGGTTATGGGTAACCGTTTAGATAAATAAACGGTTATGAGTATAACTGTTTACTTGTGAAATTTAAATGGACGGTTATGGATATTACTCGCGGTTATAAACGGGTACCCATTTAACCGTTTATTTTAATATATGTTAAACCAAAAAAAAAAAATTGTTTCTAACTAGGTTTAATATCCTGAGATATATTTGGTTATAAAGGGCCATATAATATATATATATATATATATATATATATTTATGCCTCACTTGAGAGAAAAATATAGTTGATAGAACGGGTTAATGTTTAATATATGTGATTGAACATGCTAAAGCATTAAAGTGTTCGACAGTTGTCTTTTGGAGTTTTGACCAATTCAAGATAATAATTACCTTGAGCATTTAGAAACATGTTGTTATCAGATAATGCGTACCTATCTATATATATATATATAAATTTAATTGGCCTCAAGTTTTCAATAAATATTTGACCCCAAAATTAGAAATTGATTAAACGGCTTAGATAGATGAACATATGTTTCTAAATAAAAATCCAAATATTTATCAAATTAGCTTATTAGCAGACTGATGTGTACTTACAGATATATATATATATATATATGTAAGTATGTATACAAGAATATTAATTAACCTACAACCATGCATAATTCTTGTAATAAATTGACCGTCAAATAATTAGGAGACATCACATATATTCATAAATAATATTGCCATTAATATAAAAATACATGTTAAATGTACTTATAACAGTATTTAATAGTTAGAAAAAAGAAAATTATGACAAATTTCTTTTTAATTTTCAAGTTGTTAAAAAAATAGGTAGACGGGTAAAAAAAAAAAAAAAAGTAAACGGGTACATGTTTATGAGTAAATGGGTATGCGATTATGGGTATGATTAACCGTTTATAAACGGTTATGGGTATGAGCATCCTGTTTATGTAAATACCCAACAGGTAAACGATTATGTGGGTAAAAGCTTAAACGGTTATGAGTAAATAACCACGGTTACCCACTCGCCATCACCGTTGCCCATCCCTAATCAGAAACCTCATCTAGAGATATCTAAGAACACTATCTACAACCCCAAACCATCTAATTTTCAATAGAAATTAAACTGGTACTCTAGATTTAGAAAATCTTGATTATAAATTGTACAAGACCCAATAAAATATACAAAAGCTTTGAAGAATTAATGGAAAAATCTAAGATTATTTCTTTTGAGGATGGATCTTCTCGGTCCAACTTGAAAGCAAATTAAATTCCTTCACCTCAAGCCTTAATTTTTTGCACAAAAAGGGTTAAGAAAATAGTCAAAACACAAACTTTTAACCTTAATTCTTACAGATTGAGACTGATGTACAGAAAAGGATAAAGCACATGCTCCAGGAACATGTAATTAAGCTTTGCTGAATCTAATATTTAAGAACAAATAACAAAAAGAAGAATAATTTAATTTTCTCTAGTTTTTCCAAATGTTTCTTAACTATGTATTGATGCATGAATAAGTTCTTAATTGCTGTAAAACTCAAAGTTCCCTTTCCGAAGTCAGAAAAACAACAACAAAAAACCCCAGAAAAAGACAATTAAGTGTATAAAAATTCACACTTAAGCACATGATAACTCGAAGAATTCAAGCATCTAATTGAAAAACCCTAGGCATCAATTGCCAAATCCAAACCCTACAAACTAGACAAACACCAAGCCAATAAATAAAATAGTAACATGCAAAGGAAAGAAAACCCACTTTCAGAGAAAGAAGCTGCAAAAGCCAGTGAGAGAGTCCATGAGAAAAGAGCAGAACTGGAGAAACTGGAGAGCCACTTAAAAGCAAAAGAACCGCATCTACAAAAAGAAAGGGGAAGAAATAGTGTAAAAAATAAAGGACAAATTGGATTTCTCGAGAAGACCAAGAGTTAATAACTTATTATCAACTTAAGTGATCTTTTACTACAGTAGTAAAAATATGTCAAATTTGTATATGACAGCGCAAGTTTAAATTATGTTGGTGACTAATATAATATTTAATTTAATAAAATTTATTGTTTGATAAAAAAAATAAAAAAAAAAAACATATTATCAATCATAAACAGCTTCCACCACACTGTTTATACAAAGAAAAATGTCCGGGACCATAGTTTTGGATCATATTTTATACATTAGGTGAGAATTGATGATTAAATTATTTTTCTAATATTTAAAACCATAGTCTTCAAGTTGGTAAGTCTACTTAATTGCGGTTAAGAGAAGCTGAAATGTCTTTGTATATTTTTTCGATCTCTAAAAAAGACGGATGACCATAACTTATCACCAATTGTCTTTTTTAAAAAAAAAAATAGTTTTAACCATCAATCATTACATACTTTACAAAATATAATTCTAGTAAATAGTTATCGAAAAGATAAATTTAGATAGAATGTTATTGGACACATAGAGCTCTTGAACCAACTATAAACAAATTAATTAATTATATATTAAACAAAAAAATTACCAGTTGTTTTATAGTACTAAGTACTACATATCATGATTATGGATTTAGAGATGGTACCATTTTATTCTTAACACAAGTCAAAAATAAGAAAAATGTACCATTTTTGTTTGGTTGCAAAGAAAAAGTACCATATTAATTTGAAAAGTTCATCACTAGTCCTGTGATGCATAGGTGCACGGTCAGAAACGGAACACGTGCACCACCTGTCCCTTGAGTCTATGATCAGCATTTAACTCTTTAGACGAAAAGGGCTCAAGCTAGAAAACCTAAATTTGGGAAAAATCATTTCTTGCAAATCAGTTACAAGAATTTAGGAGAATCGATAAACATTTAGGAGAATCACTAGTTTATTACGTAGTTAATTGATAATAAAAGAGTTATTTCTTCAATATAAAGTGTTCATTGTACAACGAGCAACTTACGTGATACAAATATATGTTTTTAGTCAATGATAAAATCTCATGTATAATTTTTTTGGATCACTGATACTAGATGCTACATTGATCGTGTATGCCACTTATGATAACGAGAACAACTTACATGAAAAAATGCCACTATGATATCACGATCCTATATTACCTTATCACAAAACTTTCGCATAGCAATACATTACCAAATCAAATTAAATGATGAAATTTATTTTGTATAGGATGTAAGATAGGATGTATATTCATAGAGCATGATTCTCTCATCTCAGATCTCTCTCACCTACTTTCTTCATTTCTAGATATAAAAACAAAACCAACAAAACCAAAAAAACCGTGAGATGAAGGAAATTGGAGAGAATTAAGAGAAAGAGAATCGTATTCCATCATCATCGACTACTGAGATCAGGTTCAAAGTTGGTTCATTGGGTTACCTGAAGTCAGGCGCCACGGAAGCGCGTGGAACAAACGGCAGAAGAAGGAAGGGAAAATGGGTGTGGTGGTGGGCCTAATTGGGTGATGAGGGCACGTTGTAACGATATAGTGGTGTGTGGTGATGCGATGAAATTTAATGGTTGAATTTGGTTCGTCCTTGATGTCGGATGTCGAGTCTCTTTCTCTAGGCTCTAGGCTGCTCGAGAGTCACTGCCAACGGGCTAAAATTGTCCTTGAGAAGGGGCTTGATTAGCAATACTAGTGTTGCGTATTACGTCATATTTCATGTAATGTATGTATAGAGGATAAGGTTGCAGGTGAGGATAATTCATGCCGCGCACCTTTTGATGTACGTGGTTTCCCAAAGTAGCTTGGGATTAGGATTCTCTCTTAATCTAAGGATGAAGATCCTTATGATCAAGGAATGTAAGTTATTGGATGAAAATTCAACGGTTATAAGTATTATAATTTTAAAGGGACTTCCTTGTTTGTAGCCGTTGAATTTTCATCCAACGATCCACATCCCTTAATCATGAGGATCTCATCCTTAGATTAGGAGAGGATCTTGGTCCACAATTTGAAGTCATTTGCCTTGACAATTGGCCCTACTGCAATGTCAAACATTTTATTTTATAAGTCAAGAGTTTAGAGTTTGCCAAAAATTTCGGAGCCACAAAGTGACTAGAGATTTTTCTTTAATGTCTGCTAAGATGCTTCGGTTTTTGGTTGATGCTATTATGTGGAAGATACCCCTTATAAAAGATTAGAGATGCCACAATTTGGAGTCATTTGCCTTGACAATTGGTCCTACTGCAATTAGACTTGACAATTTCTTACACAACACGAAAATAATAGGTTTCGGATCAACACGATAACTAATCAGGTTATTATCGGGTCACACGATAATAATCGGTTAATAACGGGTCCTTAACAGGTTTACACGAGAATGACAAGCGGGTAATCTATTTCGACACGATAAGAAAAATGTTATTTTGATGATTTTAATTTTTTAAACTACTAAACTACTAAAAAAAACTTACTATAAAATACAATACATATAATGAATATGTATATATTGTTTATTAATTATTATTCTATATAAATTTTAAAGTTCAAGTTTTTTTTTATTTGTTAATTTTTGTAGTATATTATTATAGGCAAAGATTGAGATTAAAAATCATAAAATGCATTAAAAATAAAAATATCAAGTAATTTAAAAATACCAAACACATTAAAAAAAGGGGTAAAATACAAAAAACTACCTCAATTATGAGTCGAACGACACTTTCATATCTCATCTTTTAAAATTAACAATGTCATACCTCATCTTACGAATTTGTGACAATGTCATAACTTCCGTCAGTTTGTATGTCATCTATTCCGTTAAGTAGTGACGTGGCTTAAAAAAAAAAAAAAAGATATTAAAAAAATAATTAAATATTAAAAACTAAAACTATAAAATCATTTAACAATTTTTTTTACATAGGGACCCACCCCTTATCTGTGACATCCCGTCCCAAAATTCATGTTAACGTACGTGTGAAATTACAACCTTGCCCCTAGATCGTTTCGTTTACGTTTAGTGGTTGTTTCGTGTGGTGTGGACATGTGTTGGGCCATACACACACCCACACTCTCACACTCACTCTCTCTGTCCCTTTCCCTGTCTGTCTCTCTCTCTCTCTCCCGTGTTTCCTTTCCCTTTCCCTTTCTTCTTCTTCCTCTTCCTTTGAACTGGTACGGACACACACACAACTACACTAAGTCATCACAGATCGAGGAAACCAAGGGCACAGTCGTGATCGTGAGGTCGAGGGGAGCACGATCATATCTTTTTCAGGTGAGAAACCAGTCGTTTTCACGTCGATTGCACAAACTCCGATTTGAACACCATTCATGCAAACTTAATCTAGTTAGTTTTTGGACTTTTGAAGCTTGTAGATGTGTTGGTGAGGTCCCAAGGAGCTTGGGAGTGCTTCGTTGGGCGATTTTGGACGTTGGGATTGCCCTGTTCAAACTTGGCCGGTTTTGGAGGTTAGTGACAGGTTTGATTTAGTAGTTTTTAGGCTTTAAAACTTGTAGGATTGTGTTCTACTAGTCCTAAGCTTCATTTTGGTGTAAAAATCATGAAAAATGGTGGAAAAATGAGCGAGAAAACCCAAGTTGCAGGTTTTCCAGCAACGGCGCCGGAGTCTCGCCGGAGAAGGTGACGGAATATTCCGTCAGAATTCTGACGGAATATTCCTGACGCCGTTAACGGAATCTATCAGTTTTGACGGAATATTCCTAACGGCGTCAGTTGACGCCGTCCATGTGCGCCACACGTGCCTGCGCGTGGCCGGCGCGTGTGGCCGTGCCTTGGCCGGCGCGTGACAGTGCGTGCGGCGGAGAAAAAATTTTATAAAAATATGGTTGTGATCCTGAGGTTGTGTAGAGCACGTTGGTATATTCATTTGTCCATTTTGAGCAATGTATGAGAAGTTATTACGAAAGTTAGGTTATGTGCTTTAAAATTAACGTTTTTATAGTTGTTTCGCATATAGGTGGTACGTATCCCGAGGACGAGCGTGCTCACTCGAGGCAGGGGGCTACGACCCTTCCACATACCAGTGAGTAGGCTTTTGGTTTTCCGTATATACCTATATACATATAATTCCCAGAAATTAGTATAAATGTTTATTCGTTATATGCCATTCCTTTTATGTTAGTGGTCGTTATGCATGATTAGTGGCATATAAGTTGATTTATATATTCATTCATATGTCATATATATATATATATGTTGGTGCTGTGGAGGCATAGGTAAGTGCCAGGTAAGCGTTATTTAACGATTGCATTAAATAGTGGTTAGAGATGCTTTGAGAGCTCATAACCTGCACCCCCGGTGTTAGTGCTCCCGCCCAGAGTAGGGCACAGTCCTTCACGTGTTGTTCACCTCTCGCACCACACGCTCAGCTTGGATCCAAGTTAGGTGCACAGTCATGTCGTACAGACCACTTTAGGTGGTTCCGACTCGTAGGTGACCCGCGATTATTCGCACAACCTTCACGTGATCGTAACACTAGAGCGTTATATGTATTACACCCAGGCCTGTCATACAGACCACTATAGGTGGTTCCGACTCGTGGGCAGGTTTAGTTATTGAGATTGAGATTTGAGCTCTAGATTCAGCCGTACAGGTCACTTAGGGGACTCCGGCTGCCAGATGTTATGCTATTGATGTGATTTATACCTGAGCACTTGCATATCATTATGAGGCTTTGACATGGCATACCTTTGAGCATGATTGGCATACCCTTGAGCATGATTGGTATATTTATACTTACGTATATATGTTTATTTTCTGGGAAGTATACAGGTTTTACGGCGAGGGGTTAGAATGTATTTTACTAAATGGTTTTTAAAGAGCTTTGTTTTTGCCCACTCACGCTTTTGTTTTGCGCCCCTCCAGGTTCTAGTAGCTTAGCGGGTTCGGTGGTTTTCCCAGAGGGCGTCTCGGCATTTCTGACAAACACTCACCAGTGTAGGGTCACCTTCGGGTGTACTATTGTCGTATCATTTCCTTTGGACTGTTGTAGGCCTTATGCTCTGAACTCAGCGTCTCACTTACGCTAGCACGTATCTTGTCACATTATATATGCTAGTTTTTAAATTATTCGTACTTTTATATTACTTCTAATAGCTTCCGCACTGTGCACATGGCTA